CTCGGGTACCGCAGACGCACGTCGGACTTTTGCATGGCAGGTAGGTCAAGGGGCTTGCACATGTGTATATATATATACACATATCTCCATATATATATATATACATACATACATATGATACACCTCCCCCCAAAAAGAAGACTCCGCGCCTCAGGTAATTCTTTGGCAGATGAGGTTTGTGCTTGTCTGTATTCCTATTATTTTCCTCACCATAGATGGGAAAGTGGTGATGGCTGAAGGGTGGTGATCGAACTCTGAGCGTCTTTGCAGATTCACAGCTTGGCGGAATTTTGTGGGCCGTTGATGAGTGGATATGCTTTTGGAGCGCTGTCCGTAGCAACAACAAAAACAAGTTCTTAGTCCCAAGACTTCTGGTTTTCAAGATTCCAGATGTCCAGAATTCCAGATTTCCAGGATACAAGTTTTCCAGAATTTCAGATTTCTGGAATAGAAGTTTTCTAGATTTCCAGACTTCCAGGTTTTTCTGGCCTTGACCTTCCAAACTTACACAATCTCAAAATCTGGAACACTTCCACTCTGGAAATCTGGAACTCTGGACAACTTCTGCAAATCTGGAAAACTGTTATTCTTGAAATCTGGAGTTCTGGACATGTGGGAAGCAAGAAGACCGATGGAAGCCGCTGTTTATGGTTCCTAGGTCGGTTGGATCAGAGCTTCTGAAATATGCAAGACTACTTTTGAACGGGGCCGGTTGGGGGTAAAGAAATGATGAAGTAAGGGTCTTCGGAATTCACCAGGAATCATGAAATATTCGTGACCCGTCTGATTGCTTGTGTTTTGTCGTATTGCACTGTTTATACGGTATCTTGATCTGGATAATGCTTAGGAATCATTCAAGCAGGATTAGGGGCCTCTTGGTTGCCTAATTAGATGTTTTGTTCTTTCTTTGTTTATACGGTCCCGCAATCATATCCCTGTATTCCTAAATTTGCATTGTCATCACCAAGGCATTGTAAAGCACCAAAAGAACATCCCCCTTCCTTATTTCTCTCTGAAATGGGTAGCCCTGGTCACCTATAAAATTGTTTTTCATTTTATAAAATAGAGGTGTCATTTTATAGTGTGCATTTCATGGGGGGTTCCTTGCGAGCCTTTTCAGGGTGAGTGTAGCATGAGATGTTGGGTGCCCTGTCTTGACTTTTTTTGTTATGATTCCCTGCTGAAAGTGTGGGGGTACACGGGGCCGTTATTTTATAGATTTTGTTGATTTGAGACTTCGGGTTTGTTTCTGGGGTCCCTGGGCAGGTCATTTTATCCAGTCCATCTGCGGGCCTGACCAAATATGTGTGGGATTTTTGTGGAGCTGAAGTAATAAAGCAGCATTGGGAGAGCGGCGCTTCAGGGCACACAATTGGAGGGATCACACAGTCACTGTGTCCATCACCCGTCGCAGAGCGGAAGTGTAGACACTGCTAAAGACCCAAAAGAAGTCTTGGGAAAGGCTGGGTGCAAAGTGCATATACAAGGGACATTCAAAATCCCATTCATGTCGGGTATCATTTCTCATAACCTGTGTCTAGAATCATTACAAACCGTGCCAGAGGCCCAACAGAAGTCCTGGGAGGGGCAGGGCTCTCCTCATGATATGCTTGGGTGTTACGGTTTAGACTTATATCCAGAGCCTCGTTATATAGACTTCAGGGTACCCCCAAAACCGTTGAGACCCCCATTTCGTAGACCATCTTGACTATCACATGGGAATAAGGAAGGGGTATCAAAGAACCAAGAGTAAGTTCAAGTAGCATGAGATTTGTAAAGAAATTGGCATGGCCTTCAGAACGCGCATTTATGACCTTCTAGGTTTGGGTTGTTTAGCGAAGACCAACTACAGTGATTAGGCGCGCTTGCGGTTCACGCAGGAGTATGAAACCCGTTTGCAAGAACAGATTCTGATCTAGGATGTTGTGTCTTGATGTATACATCTTGAACGGATATGCATGATCTGCAGTAATGCTAACGCATAAAAAGCAGCAAGCACACGCATATTTTTGGGCTAGTTCACAAGTATGGACGTGCACGCAAACGTAACGTATCAAGCACTTGCGCAAAACAGGATGTGGATAGGGGGGCGACTCCGAGCTTATTTAGATGTATACACTCCTATATAGATAAGCAAACGTGTATGCTTTTATGTGAGTGGATGAAAGCGCAATGAAACAATAACAACTGTCCAACAACACGTCCGCATCCAGGAAGCAAAGTACAGGCTCTGTTAATTTGGTTAAGCGTACGGACACGTTTAAGCACCGTATGATACCCCTGTTGTCACATGCTGCATGGGTCCTCCGATGTGAATGTGCGAAGCCATGTCAACCCTGACAACGCGCTATTGTAAGCACATGTCATATTTGCGGTTCGTGCTCGGTGAACTTGCCAACAATCCAGATTTGCCGCAGCTTGAGGCCTCAAGGCAGGTTGTTGCGGCAGGTGGAATTTGTAGGTTCGAACACGTCCTGCAGTTTGCTGGCATCAAGGCTTGCGGGCTGCCTTCATGGTTGCGGGGCTGCCACGAGGGGTGCGACTTGAGTCTTCAGCTGCGGCATGGAAGGCACATGTTTCCAAAGCCTAAATGCTGGGCCAAATATGTTATCCTTCTCGCCTATACTGCAACAGTGGGAGATGCGATTTACTTTGGCACTGAGGCGCTTCATATGAAACGAAGGTGGTAACCGCAGTTCTGACGAATGTCATACGTATTTTTGTTTACCATGTGTTAAGCAAACCTTACAAAATGACGACATCATGGAGAACCACCGAAATCCTTCAATCTGGTGAGATTCTTTTTGTTTCCTTTGAGGGGTATCTTAAAATCGAGGGCCCTATTTTGCTCCTTGGATAAATATTTCGGTCTTTTCAAAAAATACGTTTCCAGCATTTGAGGCCGCCCGAAATGCGATATATTTATCAGGAGGTTTCATTAGTAGGGGGAAATGAACTTGATGCATCATGGTGCAGGTTCGCAGACGTTGTCGGCTTATTTTCTTTCCAGCTTTAGTTGTGATTTGCCGCCACTTCGCCGCTGGTTTTGCGGGCTGGACTAGTAGTCCGATTGTGTCACAACAAGTTACGAAGCAGAGGACAGAGACCTTGGTTCCCAGCAATGTTGTCCTGACACCTTGTGGCGGCAGAGCTCATGCTTTGACATGTTGGCGTGGACTTGATTCTGATTGCTGCTTCAAGATCACGTGCTGCGCAAGGACTAGTCTTCACACCGCTTGGTGTGCCAACAGCAAGGAGATCACGTTGACGGAAGATGAGTTGCGACCCTCAGTTGCACGTAGCTGAGTACATGGGATCAGCAAGAACTCTACATACAGGTGGCCAGGAGCTTCTAGGCCCGGGCCGCCCTTGCATTTCTTTCCCAACGGGCTGCTGTCCGGATGTCTTGGTGACCCTGAAAGCCAGGATTCCTGGAGCCCACCCACCAACATTGATCAAAGTTCTGGAGCCCACGAGCATCTGTCTTTTCAGAGGTCTGCATGATGGATGGTGCGTCCGAGCCTAGCTCAAGCTTGAAAAAATCACCGATGCCATTACCAGGCTGTTGGCTTTCTCAGCTGACTGTGCCTTTGTCTTCAACTCAAGCTCCGATACCCAACCTACTCAAAGCGCGAGTATCACATCCTCAAACGAGCTCAAACGCTAAGTACCGTTTTGTGTCGTGACTTGGGCTTTTATAGCAGAAGCTTTCCATGGTGGTTTTCCAATCCTTCAGCTGCGTAAGGGTTCTGACTATGTCCTGTTGCAAGGCCGAGATGCAGCTTTCATGGAGCGTTTGCGGGCATTGGCCCAGGAAGCACTGACCTGGCCATTTCTGCAGGCCTGCCACATGAGTATGTCTAATGCTGGCAGTGCTAAGCATGTCCAAACATTACGGCACGGATCGACTCGCTGCGTATTGTTTTTGTCCACTACTCTTTGGACTTGGGGTCTGGGTCTTTTTTGGGGGTTGAGTTTGCGGGTTAGCTGCGTATCATGCTCAACACTTTGAGAAGGTTATTCGTTTTGGATCGACAGGCTTTAGTTTGATTTTTGGTGGCCATTGTCTTTAAAGGGTTCCTGCTGTGGAGGCTTCTTGTGTTAAACTACCTTCCTGAGCCTTCAGGTGCACTCATGAGGCTTTGCCAGCTAAACAGGGTCCGCATTAAGAACTTGGTTCCAACAGCCCCCACACTTTCGGAGGATGAGCAGCTGCTCAAGTGGGCTGCCGTGCTGCAGTTTGACAGCGTGCCGCTTCAGGAGCCTTGTCACTGTCAGGCAATCCAAATGCAGTCAGGGATTGCCTTCTGAAGCTATGATACTTTGGAAGCCATATTTTATAGGCCGTGTTTCAAACATTCGGCGTGTCATTAAAGACGAATGACAGTAAACTCCAGAAGCTGCTGTCACACACAGATGTTCTCCAGCCTGAGATGTTGATGTAACAGGATCTTCCGCCCTGGTTTCTTGCGCGGCAGAACCTCACTACCAGAAATCAAGGCTGGGATTCTTCTGCTGGTTCTTCCCCAGAAAACGGTTAAAGCTAGCGCAAGATCCAATAAACATGACAGCCACGCCCAACTTTTGGCGAGCTGCGCAGCTAACACTGGTCGTGAACTCATGTGAATTTGTTCTGCACATGACGAGACAGACCCCCGCTGCCAGGATTAGACCTTCTAAGCCTCGATGGGCAACGAGCAGTCTGGTGCAGTTGCGGTGTGCACGGCACTGTGCCCCACCGTGGCGTGAAGCGCTTCCTGCGCACTGCCCGATATGTCTGCAAGGCCAAGAAGTTGTCATGTGGTACAGGAGTTTGCTTTCATGCAGTACGGTCCGTTTTCGCTTCGGGATGTTGAACCTATCTGCGTATTTTTGATGTAGTTCTTAAGTTCGTAGGCGCCCATGCGCTTGCTTGTCATCAGGCTTCAGCCTACATCTTGGTCACGAGCGCCGGGTGTCAGTTGAGCAAATGTTCGAGAAGCTGGCTCCGAGAGTATGGGATGTCGCATCATGCATTGGGCAAACGCAAGCTGCAGAATCTTTCTGCAGCACGCGCAGCTGCAGAAGTCAGTGCAGAACCTGGAACCTTTCTTGAGCTGCGGACTTGCCAGAAGGCATGCTTAAAGGCATGTGCCCAGGGAGCTCGCATGCTGGAGCTTGCGTGTGGGACTGGGAAAACACGGATCATCCATGAGCTTGCCGCGAGCACATCAGGAAGGGCAACCCGATAGGTTTGAGCCGGCAACTTTTCGTGCTCAAGAAGTGTGTTGCATGCAGGTAGCCGTAGGTAGCTGCTTGACATACACAGCTAAGGTTCTCGTGACGGTTCCTTCGAGAGTTTTGTTGGAGCAGTTTGCAGAGGAATTTCCAACATACTGCAAAGTGGGAATGGGCTACAACAACAAGATCGACTACAGCGCGGACGGCTTCATTTCAGTGACAGATTCTGTGCACAGGTTGGAAAACATGAGTTTTGAAGCAATTTTCATCGACGAAGGGCACCACCCCGACCCGCCTGGCCTGCCACAGGCCACAGAGCTGTACCGATTTTCGGCAACACTTCAAGACAAGGTGCACTAGTTCGGAAGAAGGATGATTGACTAGTGACTTGACGCCACTGAGCCTAGAAACACACTATCAGCTAGAGATTGCCTGCAGAATGGGGCGGGTCACTACGTGGCTAGTGTGGGGAATATGGGCTCATTGAATGTGGTTGCCGAAGGGCCGTATGATGTCTTACCTTGTGGTATAAACAAAGAAGTGGTTGATGAGGTACACTCTCATGGTACCACAACGACTTCTAGTGTGAGTCGTGCTCGCCTTGCTTAGGCTACACCAGTCAGTGATATCCGTGCGTAGACTGCAGTTGAGTAGCATGGTTCCATGGTTCAGCCAAATCGATTGCTCAGAAATTGACAAGGCGTTGGATCTGTTTACGAAACTGTGGGCGATGCTATGGCATGCTTGGGGTGCAGGTAAAGCACCAAAATTGAGGTACGCGCGCGGCTGGTGTGTAGGCTCGCGAATTCTTGGCGTGGAGCGTCTTCGCATTCTAGCTCGAAATCGTGTTTTTGCCCGAATGCACGAGCGTTTAGCATTGGAATGGTTTTTGGGCCTTGGAGTGCTAGAGGACCTTGGAGTGCTCTGGCGGTGCACTTGGACTAATCGCTGTTCATGCTTTTACGTGTTCTCGTGGTCGTACAAGGTTCGGGATCTATACCAGCAAGTAGAATTACGAATTCAGGACAAAGTATTTAACCTTTTTGCACCTTACAATAAAACCAGAAAATGGGAGGGTGGCAGTCCCGTTTCATGTTGTAGACTGGAGAAAATGTGCCTTGAGGATATTTCTCTTGCCTTTGTAGCTCTCTCATCTCGGGTATGGTCTGTGTCTCGATGTCGTGGAGATATGTTCGGGGTGTGTAAATCCTATAACTCAAAGGAGGCGTTCCTGTTCCCTCTTTGGACGCCCTTCAGAGGCGGACTTTCGATATACAATGGGACAGGCAATTGCAGATGGCATACTCTGCGACTACGATCTCACCGTGCCTGTGACAACTCAAGGTCATCCTTATCGGTGTTTGGCGGGGATGCTGTTGTCCCAAGCAGGTCGATTCAGACGAGTGCTGGCATACTGTAATTCAGTTTCCGAGGCTAAACGCTTTCAGGAGTACGTGGAGTCGCTGGGCTTGGCCGCGTGGCATATGAACGGGAAGACCCCTCTACATGTGCGGCGCCAGTTGCTGGCTTCATTTACGGGACCACTGCAGAAGCCGGTACATGTGCTCGTGACAGTGCAGGTGCTGGGGGAGGGCGTAAACATTCCAAATGCAGACACATGTATGTTTGTGGAGCCTCGAAACAGTTACACCAGTATAATTCAGGCTATTGGGCGCGTGTTGCGGCTACACCCTGCCAAGCCGCTAGCTCATATTGTATTGCCTGGGGTCGCGGTAGTTGCCTCGAATTCCTCCACGACGGAGGATAGGGATGGAGGGGCCAATTTGACGCCTCCAACGCATGCAAGCTGCCCTTCTGATGCAAACCAAAACCCTAGCATCTGCAGTTCTAGCATCAACAATGCTGGCAGCCATCAAGACGTGACTCAGAGGAATACACGCAAGGTTTTGTCCAATCTGCGCGGGGCTGCAAGTGCGGCTAGACTGGCTGAAGCTCGCGTTCGCCAAGGAGAACACGTACTCGATGTTAGTACTCAAATCCAGGCGTCGGCCGAAACCTCGTGTCAGCATCAGCAGTCTGAGAAATCAAGCAGTGCCAGCCGTGCTGTAGATGCCGAATCCCGTACTCAAACTGCTGAGAGAATGTCCTCAAATAAGAAGGATGTTGAAGGTGGTGTTCACAACCATGAGCTCCCAAAGGGTATGACTGGCAATCAATTGGACGTTGTTGCCAGCACGCTGTTTCCATCTTCAGCGCAGGAGGAGTCTGCTCCAGTGCAGGTGGATGCCGCCAAAGTGCTAGCGAACCTAGAGGAGCAGAAGGAACGGCATCTTTCGGAGTTTTTGATGCCTGCAGGAAGAAAGATGAGAGTACGATCTAAAAGGACCAGAGTACAATCTGGATCGGCTCTACGTGCCCGCGTCCCCATGCTTATAGATGAAAGCTATTGCGTACAAGTGGAGCGTTTTTTGGCAGCGATTGCATCGGCAGACAGTCGGCTCAGTCAACAGACATTAACCTCGCGATTGCGGATTGTTGATGCAAGAGACAGCATGTCTGCCAGCACTTGGGCCGCTATTTCTTCAGATGTATTCGCCCAGCTGACTTATGTGTTGCAGCAGGAAGACCCGTGGGAAATCCGAGTTCAGGCAGTGGAATCATTCGTCTCAGAGCATGGCATCCTTCCAGTGGAAAAGTCGAGTATGATGCATGAGAAGTGGTTGGGCGTTTGGTTGCGCAATGTGGGAGTGCGTGTGAGGAAGAGAATCCTGCCGGCGCATCGAGTGCAAAGGCTCATGAACTCGACGATGCATCTGCTCAGAGCACGTGTCTGGGATTGGTTGGGGGAGGACGTAGTCTTCCAACTGCGCTGCAACATGCTGAAAGATTTCGTTCATCAGCATGGTGCGCTGCCGAACCTGCTGAAGTCCAGCGGAGAGACTACAGCTGAACAGAAACTGGCTACGTTCCTTGTGAGCTTAAAAAAAGGCTCCTGCCACGTAACCAAGTCCAGACTGAAGCTTTTGAAAGAGCTGCACCCATTGGTCTCGAAGCTGGTTGAGAGCTGGCAAGGCAGCCCTAAGATCGTCATCATGAGCACATGGCAGCAGCGGGCATCTGCATTGAAGAGCTTTGTTCAGCAAGCTGGAAGGCTGCCTAACTTCAAGCTTGAAACAGAGAAGCAAATTTACTGGTGGCTCTGCGCGCAGAAGTACAGATTTCTTATGTTGCCAAGGACTCTACAAGATCAGCTTTTGGACATTCCCGCCGTCAAAGAGTTTGTAACGTCAACTTGATCGGTTATCGACTAATCAGCCTCGTATCAAGGCCGTTGTGCCCTGCGTGCAGGTGACAGAACACAGGTTGGCAGCTGACCCATTGCCACTGCGCCGCTGGTAGGGTGGCAGATCTTGGATGTGACCGTCTCCGTGTTAACTTGTGCCTCGGAAAATGGCGCACCGGATGGTGGGCAACCTCAGCTGGGGTCCGCGCGCACTCAAAGAACACATGCTGCTCAGATTCTGAACTGCTTGCTGCAGTCAGAGGCTGCGGAGTCGCAACTTCAAAGCAAAGCAAGACGAATGTTAACCTGCAGCATACCCTCTAATATTGTCAGCTTTCCAGCAACTTGCTGACGGCACGTTGGCCACGCAGCAAGCATGAGGTCAGCCAGCCCCTGCACAACCCGGTCCGCTAGCATCTTGTGGCTCTGAAAGCACACGCGAACCGCAGACAATTTCTGTCGGTATTTCCTGTTCAGTGTCTACCAGGGCAGGCAAGTTTATAGTTTACGGGCTCAGTATTTGCCAAGTTCCCATGTGCAGCGACTAGTGACTCGTCGGAACATACCCGAATGGCGACGGGAAGCGGCGGCTTGATCGCACTTCACAACACATGTTGCGAGACAGAAAATGTATCTTTGTCATTTCATTGTAACCTGTGAGGAGACGTGCAAAACAACCTCAAGAAGGCTGGCAGAGCTTTGCTTGGGGTGACATGGGTTTCGCGTTCGCCCATGCTTGGGTCACATGCCAGAGGATGTAGCGGCTTGGCACGCAGATTGTTTGCAGATCCGCCACGCCTCTTTGCCAAATCCTTACGCTTTGAGAGGCATACAGCGCCATACGGTCCGCATGGTATGCCAGCAGTGACAAAGGACCCGCTGTCATGTTAGCTTTTGCTGCCACCGCCAACAGTCCATGATATTTGGCATCAGGCCTCTGTGGACCCGAAACCCCTAAACCACATTGCCATGGGGCAGATTTACTTGTCCACGCCTGTACCTGGAAATGTCAAACTGCGCTCTTCCAGCCTCACGCAATGTCCTGATTTGACCTTACAGTTTTGCCAAAAAGCCAAGTCCATCAGGTTTGGCAAGAGAACGTAAGAGAACTATTTGCACATGTACCCCCGTACCTAACAGGAGAGAGCAGCGTACAAGTCGACTCCACTCCGTTGAAGCAGATTCTCCTTGCTGTTCGACACCCAGTGCTCAAGCTTCCCACGCGACTTCAAATCATTGCTGAAGCTTCAGGCGGAAAGTTCGCAGTATAAGCTCCTGCTTCGCAGGGACATCGCTAGCTGCTAGCATCTGTTGCGCAGCTTCTTTGGTTGTTGCTGTCACGGCTTCAAGATCGGCATTGCCTGCCTTTGGTTCCGCTTTGACCCTAATTACATTGGAGATTTCAGCAGCTCAAGGGTGGGCCCAGTAAGGGAGTCATACGCCGTTCCCCCTAATAATATCATATTAGAAAATTATTAGAAGCCCCCTAATATCCAATAGTAAGTCCGTGGCCTAAGTAATTTGCTGAAGATTGCGTTTTTCAGGGGGAGACTACTTTCAAAAGGTGCCACCTGATAATGAACTAAGGAGTCTTTGTAATTTGCTACCTACTCGATGGATAATGAACTAACTAATTACTCGTTGTTAATCCAGTTTGGACTGAGTTAAAAAGGATTTTGAGGCAGCCCTATCTAATTCTTTCAGTAAATCCCCCATATAGGTGATGCAATAATTTTTCGGGCCCCGAATAACATTGGGGAGGGACGTCGTTTCATATTAGGGGATATGGATGGGAACGTATCGAACCGTAAAAACAAGAGTTTCGGGATTTGGGTAACTGTTTTTGTTGGGAATCGGCTCCGCCTGCCAGTGTATGGAGGACAACACAGTTTTTGCATGCGTACTTATCGACTTCATACACTTCGCATTCGCCACGCCTTAGCTTGCTTTCTCCGTGGCTCGTAGCCCTCAGGCAGCTGCGCAGCTCAATGACAAAGGGCCACATGGGATGGAGGCCAGGTTGGTGAAGTGGTTGGGGATTCCCAGCCTAAACGACATACATCTTGTTTTCAGGTCGCACAAGAAAGGGTTTTGTATTTGGTGTTTGAGGCTAAGTTTCTCAGCTGAAATCGAGTTTGTTGCGGCGGTGGGGTCATAAAGGCGGGGCTTCGTAGGTCTAGGTGCGAAAGGGAAGCACGCGCATTGAAGCAAACAGTCTTTGACCTCAAGACTTCAGCAAAGTAGGGTTCCCGCTGCTACTGCTGTTTTACCGCATGTTTTAGGCAGAAGCCTCCTGTAAATGGGAGTCACAGCTTCAGATGAGCCATGTGTTTGGCCCTATCTTGTTCTCCCGTTGTGTGAATTCGAGCCTCACCTCAGTTTATGACTAGCCCGCTTTATGATGGACATGTGGATGGACATGCTTCTGATTGGACGGGTAGGCTGAGCATATGGCATTCTCCTTATTCAGCCTCTTATCACACAGGGTTGCAGCATTTGCCAGCAGAGCATCTTACACAGCACAGGAAAGCCGGGATAGCAGGCTGCGTAGTTGTGGCCCGTGCCAGGACAAGGACCTCCCACTGCTGAATCAGCTGCACACTCAGGAATGGCATGGAGCTGCAGGCTTTGACATGTCAAGATTTGGCATCCGAGCTGGAAACCCCAACCTCAGTTGAAGCGGCTTTGCCTGGATAACCGGGTCGTGGAATGCCTTGAACGAACCCAGCATTGGTCCACAGGGACCCTGCAGGCCATGGAGCAGAAGGGTTTAGTATGGGAAACGAGGGTCAACGTTTTTGGGCTAACACAGACGCTGGGAATTCATGAGCTGTGGAAGTGATCTGGAAGCTTCGTTGCGCACACTGCGTTTCAAATTCCAATGAGCTCAAGATTCCACATGACTCTGGTGGGACGCTGCAAAAATGGTACAAGCAAACAGCACTTCAACGCTTAATCTGCAAGCTCCCACGATGCAAACCCAAGATATGTGCAGACCACTCTGATACAGCTTGAGCATTTGAAACTTCACTAAACGTGCTGCTTCAAGCCAGCAAACCCCCAACCGTTGCTTTAACCTCCTTCGCTCGGCTCTTGGAAGCTCCCAGAGCCTAAGTGCCACTGCATGGGGTGTTACGTTGTTACGCCTAACAAATCCTCACATTTGCAAGGGAATTCTGTGGCCCCACACCTGTTCCCACAAGAGCTGCTGAAGATGCATCTAGGCTCTCTGACTCTCCTGCACATCCTATGCTTTTCCGCACCTTTGCGGCCACGGGCTTTTGCAGAAAAGATACGCTAGCCCTTCCGCGTTTTTCCTTGACCTGCATCGCTGCTCAAAGATGGCTCGTTCCAGGACACACTGTGTTCTCGTTGGGCTTCCAAAGGTGCGGTTGAGGAAGGTGGGGCTTTCTGGTTGCCAGCTTGGACGATTGGATGCCGTGTTTCGTTTTCCTTGAAAGGAATGGTTCGCCAATGCGGGAAGGGTGACGCTGTTTAGATAATTGTGTGAATTGTGGCCAAGACTGCTGTAGGGGTCACAGTGCAGTCCGCCATCCTGAACGTCCCTCGAGCGTGAGATGTAAATCCCCGGCCAGGACCAGGGTTTCCTTCCCGAACCAAGGCCTCACGAAGCTTCAACATCTTCACGCTGCGGTCATGCTAGCTAGTTTCTGCTACATGGACTTCAATCTTGGGTTAGCATGAAACACTGCAGGATAAAGAGTGCATGCTGGAGGCCCTAACTGGCAGGTTGCAACGCCAAATCTTCACGTCAACACAAAGCTGCTACTGCTAAACACCCTCACGAAGTGTAGGAACTGCAAAGCTGGTGACCTCTTAATGCTTGCGGGCACGCTGACTTCCGCAGCTCGCCGGGCGAGGGAAAGGCTTTGAGCCAGTTTGGGTTCACGAGGGTAGGTTTGAACATGTGAGCAACCGTCAATACTCGT